TAAGAATAATAATAATAAGAATAAGAATAATAATACCACCACCACCACCATCACCAAAAAAACCCCCAACGAATTCATTACTTCAACCAACATAACAATTTTCTCACCAGGAATGTCGGCAGAACAGGTGGCAGCTTTAAACAACAGAGATTTCATCATGCTCATCGAAGAGAAGGCTGGGGGATCCTACAGGTAGAAGAATCTAGAATCTACATGTAGTTGTAAATATTTGTTACGATGCGGTGGAATTAAGCACTTGTCAGATTTTGGGCAAGCTGAGTTATTGGTGTCACATGAAAGCTTGTTAATTTACGTTGCTTTCACTGAAAAAATACCCATTTATCTTAAATAGAAGTCAAGATATTTACGATTGCAGGAGAGGAGGTTGCCTGGTTTCATCGGTAAAATTAGCTAGAAAATGGACGCCAAAGTTTGATAATTTCAATAGCTTGAGAGTCCGTGAAAATAAAATTACATATTTTAAGCAACGTTTTTTTTTATCAATGTTTTTCTGTAAAATTTACTTGAAAGTGAGTTTTTATATTGGATAAGAATGGTTTAAAAATAAAAATTCGATAAAAATTGACAAACTGGTGGAAAAACTCCTGTTTCTTCGATTTCATTATTTTGACGGGCGTCTGATTTCACCCCGGCACCTCATATAATATGTGGTTGTAAACATGTTACGTCCGAATCGACACAAAACGGACCATGTAGGAGACCGGCTGTTTTGTTTGTTTTAGTAAGGTTTTACAGCGCTCGCAACTGCATAAGGTCATATTATGAGCGCCAAGGGCTGGATGTCAAAAGAGAAGTCTAAACGGGGAATCAGGCTTACTCTGTTTAACCTCTCTAGCCTCAACAGCACAAAGTCTGCCTGCATCGACTATCAAGGCACCCTGGAAATAGTGGTTCACAAGAGAGTGACAAACATACAAAAGAAGTAGAGGAAAATGACGATAGTAAGGATGAGGAAAGAAAAAGCAGAAGTTTCCCCTATATTGTTCCGGCACAGTATGAGCATGACATTGATAACTCAGCCCATTTACAATTGTACAGGTGCATACGAACATATTAACCCGTTCTCTACCCGGCCCGAGACTGTCTCAGGCTCTCTGGCTGGACTAAAAGTAGAAGCGAATTCCTATGTTACATACATATTTATTTAAAAGCACCCGATTCTATGTGGCTTGATGTCCTTTTGTGTCTGTGGAAGGGTGGGGAAATGGGGATGATGGTGATATGATCTTTACCTCGAACAAATACACCCTTCACATCCTGCTCCAAAACCTCACCTCGGTGCACTACGGCATGCCAAATCACGTGAGCTTAATTCCAGTAGACTATACTTTACAATATAATCAAAGGCGCTTGTTGACAAAAGACAATCTTCCCAATACTATGTAATGCTTTGGTTAATATTTTCACTTACTGGTCTTATTTCTGCATGCTTAGATGTTCTTTTTTTAGTCTCTAAAGGTAGGTAATTAGTTTTTCTTCATCTAATCCACCAAGTTCGAGTGGCTGAGAGAAATATTTTTAAAATTGGTTTTGAGAGTGTGAAGGGAAGAACAGTGTTTCGTAAAAATACAGGTCTGAACGAGATCAGCTCACTGTCGCTAACATTGTGGGGTCGACAGCGTCGGCGGCGTAGACGGAACAACGACGTGATCAAACCACTTACTTCAAATAAAAGAAAGTCGCCTTCAGTGAATTCTTACGTCGAATAAACTGGGATTTGTGAAACGCAGGAATGCGCTTTTACTCTTAGACCTGCTCCATGACTCAATTCTCGGGTCTGGCAGTGAAGTGGTTAATATCCTCC